ACACACACACACACACACACACATGCACACACACACACACAAACTTTCACGACTTTACTATTTTTCTTCCTGCCGCCCAAAACCGAACATTCAAAAACGTATTTATACTACACTCTTAGCAAAAGCAAGTTACATTTTTCTGGCCTAGTGCCTAGCAAAACCCTATTTTTTTTTTAGAATGGAAGCGACACATGACAAATTACATACTTTAGAATAAAAGATAATTTGTTTTAACAAATAATCATAATTGATAATCAAAGGAGAAACAATCAAACTTGTCTAAGAATACGCATAGATCTACGTGTACTTTAAAGTTAACTTCTTAGTGCTAAGGCAAATTTCCAAAGATATAAACAAACTGAGCATTCACAGTACATTTAACTCTCTGAGTACGCAAATATACAATACTAATGAAGACACACTGCTTGTGGGCATTTATAAAATGTATAGCTTCGTTATCCATACACATTTTACAACTCTGTATTCTTTGAATTCTTTGATTGAAATTTAAAATGGCAGGAAATAAATAAACAAGCACGAATAGTGAAATGTGCAAATTTGTTTTTAAGATTTGTGTTTTGTGGTTCAAGTGCTGCAAAACTTTGCATTTGGTCTACAGCTGATTGGACATAATCTTATGAGACCTCTTCCTTCATAAAACAATGTTGATTTCAGAGCAGCAAAAATGTTTAATGTTTCAAACTATGCGAGAAATATATAGAAAATCCCTTTGACCGACGATAATACCGACCTCGCATTCTCCCCCGAAGAAAGAGTTCTGACTGATTTTGTCAATTGACGTACATGTAACTAATAGATCTGCTTATTCATACAATCATATTCTATTTGAGCAATGCCTTGAAATCAACTGCTAGTTAAAATAAAATAAATAAAAGAAACAAGTTTTTTACTCGTCGTTGGGCAACTTTTTTCGATTTTGTTTTCATTGGTTCAGCACCTTTGTGACCATTTTAAAACACATTTCTATGTGGACTTACTGAAAATCGTTGATTCAAGACATATAAAATGTAAACTTACACTTTTCAAGAACACTTTACTTTAGGAAGTCAACTAACCTTGACTACCATCCTCGCTAATTTTACCCCTGACACCAGGTGACTTTCATTTCGTCCAATCTTAAATATCTAAATTTAAAAACAAGTGATATAGGTATTTTTCCCCTGAAAGCAAAACTAATGAAAAAAAAGCTTTTAGATTATACTGATAACTCCACATATCCTAAACTAAGGAACATGCGACCATCTATAGCAATACAGAGAGAGAGACAGAGAGAGACAGAGAGAGACAGAGAGAGACAGAGAGAGACAGAGAGAGACAGAGAGAGACAGAGAGAGACAGAGAGAGACAGAC